GGCTTTGGGGACACAGGGGACAGCTACGGCTGCGCTCACCGGGGGGCCTTTGCCTGTCCCAAGCATCATCAAAACCAGTGCCACGGACCTCACGCTCCTCTTCTCCCTTGCAAGAGAGACTTAAAGCATCGCGAGGAGTGAATTAAAAGGGCGTCACGAGCTTAGAAACGCAACCCCGTGTCTGCAGCTGTGCCACCTCCAGCTGCCAAGCATGTCCCTCCCACCTGCAGAAGATCAGAGAGACTGTTCTTTCCCTTGGGTTTTATTTTCTCCTCTCAAACGTCTCCCTGGAGCTGCTCCCTTGACAGGTTTCCCTCGACATCCTTGCCTTTGCCCCCGCAGTGCTGGCAAGTGCAGGGAGGCAAGGAGGGGACCTGAACTGGGGTCATTCCCAAGGCCCCAGCCCCACCACGTTCTTCCAGACCTGAGGAGAGCTGATGGCCACTCTCCCTCTCCACCTGGGAGACACAACCCCAGCGGGGCTGGATGCTCAGAGCCCGGGGATGGGAATGATGCCCACACCTGGAGGCAGGGTTGCGGGCAGCACCTCTACACAGGGTTCCAACTCACGGGAGCCCACGGGGGAGATGAGAGGCAGCCATGGACGCCGGGTGTGGGTTTGGGGCGTTGGAGCCGTTGCCGTTGCAGCGCTGGGCTGCCGGCTCACAGCCCTGTGACCGCAGGGGAGGAAGCGGCCCCTGCGCCCAGGCGATGGCGAAACGACAGTGAGGGCTCTGTTCTCCAAGGCGGTCACGATGCTGGGGAGGAGGAGGTTGCCCTGAGCCAGCAAACACCCGGGGAAGGAAAAAACTGGCTTGGGTGTTGCCTTTCCTGCAGAGCGGGGCGTCATCCGGGCTTCGCTGCCTTAAACGGGATGTGGGAAGGGATGGGCATTGCCCCGAATGTGCTCCTCACCCATGGTTGCCCCATGGGCAGGGTTTTGCTGGCAGACGGCTAGTTTTCCACCCAGCGGCATCCCCATGGGTCACAACCTTCCCTTTTTGCACCATCACCTCTGTCCCCAGCTGCTTGTTTCTCAGTTTGGGTGTTTCTTGGAGAAGCGAAGCCGGTTTTGGCCCCGAGTCCTCCCAAATGGCAAATCCTCTATCATGGATGCTTGAGTGTGGCTTATGGCTCTGAAGTTAACTCACATGTGGCTAAGTTACTGTTGCTGTGGGAACCTTTAGTGCTGAAATCCTTGACTGGCACGTGTAAAATTAGAGCTCGTTCCACCCCAGCCCCGCTGCCTGCTCCCTGTGGCACAGAGGAACTCGTGTGCTGCCGTTTGCTCATGAGGGTGACAGCATCTCCCCTCAGCCAGGGGGACTTTTGGACAAGCAGGGTCCTTCTCATCAGTGCTGCTCCCTTCTTAGCCTGACTTTTTGGCTCAGGGGAAAGAATGACTGCTGGCAGCCAGGAGCGATGCCCCCACGTCCCCATAGCACGTCTGTGGGTTCTCCTGGGTCTCTCCAGGTCCTGTCTCCGCAGAACGGGGAGTGCAGATGGGTTGCCGGAGCGGGGATCTTTGGCAGTGCTCCCGAGCGTTCAGAAAAGGAGCTGGACGCCTCGTTCCCTCCTTGAAAACTTCAGAGCTTTGTTCCCGTGGGCGGGGAAGCGGTTTCACAGCTTGACGCAGGCGCTGAGCGAGCGCAGTTCGCCCACCGGCGCTGCCTTCGCCGGGCTCGCGTGGGGTGGACGAGGGCTCTGCCACGGCTTTAGCAGGAATTCGGCCGGGCTGGAGCTCGACCAATATTTCTCTGGGCTGTGGATTTGCTTGGAGGGCTGGAGCATCGCAAGTGGAGGCAGCTGGTGGCAAGGGGGGCTCTTTGCCCTTGAGGTGGTTGGTGATGGAGCTGCGGATCACCCTCCCTCCATGGTCACCTCCGCGTCCATTGTTGGGCTTAAAGATGTTTTCTGTGGTTGGGAACCAGCACTTTGACTTTGAGTTATCTCCTCCGATTCAGTATTTGGCTGCAGTGAAGGGAAGCGAATCAACTAAGAGGGGATAGGAAGGGAGAAGGGAAGAAGGTCAGGAGGCCGGGACCATAGTTCCCCGAGTGCCCGTATCTCAGGGACACTGGGACCTGTCCCAGAAGGGACAGAGCAGGACTGGGACAGGTTCAGAAGAGAATGACAGAAGCATAGAGATGTGGAAAGCTACTGATGGAGCTCTGCCTGTTCCTGGGCTGCTCTCCAGATCTACGCCACTGGAGAAAGGACCCGGTCTAGGCAGACCTTGTGATCTGTCCACGGGGGCTCCTTTGGGAGGGAAGAAGCCAAATGACCTGGAGCTGACGTGTGACCACAGCACAGCTCTCCTTCTGCCGGGGTGACTTGGCACAAGCAATGGGCACCTTTAATCCAGCTAAAGGGCCTTAGGGACCGGGATTTTGGGTTGGCAGCGCGGCTGGGCTTGCAGCCAGGAGAGGCTCGGGGGCTGCCCCGATGTCCCTTGTACCTGCCGGGTGCTCAAGGGCAGAGGTGGCTCCAGAAGTGCCTGGAGGAACCTACTGCCCAGGAGAAAGTTTCTTTGGTGGCCAAGTCGTGCTACAGAGCTGGGCTGGACGTCACAGGCGATGGCAGAACTCAAACCATGGCGACGCAAAACCACTGACCCTCTTCCCCACAAGCCCTGCCCTTTGCAGGTGGTAGCAAAAATACAGCACTCTTCACTAGGGGAGGAGAAATCCACAGGGATGGGGGAATCACTCACCTGGGAGGATTTAGGATTACACAGGATGCCCTGGCCTTGGGGACAAGGCTGCCTGGAGGAGCGAG